CATTCAGCCCTCTGACTGTTGGCAAACACTGGCGCCGTAAAGAGCAGGATTAACAGATACTGAACAAATCAGCCGTCCATTCAATCAGCTCCATGGATATGTGCCCAAGATCGTTCTTTCATTGAAGTTTCCCTCCAGTGACAGGGATTCTGACATTTGAGTTGTGAAACATGAGGCCAACAGTGGGACATTGTTGCTCTGGATATGCCTCTCTGTTTGGGAGATGTATTTGTGTCTCAGTTAGCCTCCGTCCTCCCTGCTGATATTGGTACTTCAAGGATAACCCTCATTATTTGGGAATATTGAGAGCTCACCTTAGACTCTCTTTCTCACTTTTCTGATGTGAAATCTAGCTGAAGCTCCTTCATATATGCTGTCCATTGACAAACAAAAAGGAAGTTATAAGTTGCAGGTCAGATCTATTTTGAAAAAGAACCCAGAGTTTTAGCAGCAGGTCTAGCAGCTTTCTGCATTCTCATGTTCTTGGCAAAAACCCAAGTCTGTCTTGGCAAACAGATCAGGAGATCAGCATTTTGTAAAACTAAAATTGGATTAGGGGATTAGGTATCAGTTACATCTTTTTTAGATACTAGTGCTGATATACCAGAGTTTCTGTACTGAAAATGATACCTGTTTGAAATATGAAATATAATTGTCTTTTTTTTACTGAACAAAATAGGCCTATGAAGAAGTTCTAAAATGTTAAACGATTTAGCCAGGGTGGAAAATTAACTTTTTGATCTCCCTGCCAAACGCTGATAAACAAACAAAAATGTACTGACTAAAATATTTTTCAACCGGTCTTAACATAAAACTTTATAAAGATATAAAACTCTCTTAACCCCCTTATCTGTGAAGCAAACGTCCACTGTACTCTTTCCCTTTAGTTTTATCTAGTCTGGCGATGTGCAACCACATACTTACAGACTTTCTTTATGGTCAGCACAAAATTCTCCTCTGTGGTACCAGTGATACTGGCAATTGAGCTGGGTAGCTTAACCGTTGCGACAGTGGACAGTGGGGTTCAATCAAAGTATTGTAATACAATTGAAAACAATCATGGATCTGACCAACTTTGTACCAAATGATTCAGCATTTTTCAATACTTTTTGTAGAAGCCTATCGTCAGTACCATGGAAGTATTCATCTTTGACACCCAGGCCTACACAGAACCCTCTCATGCTTCTTGTAAGTGGGTAACCGCCACCATGTCCGCCCTGGTCCTCATGAGCCGGCAGATTTGAGGCGAGCCTGTTGGTCTGGACATAGACTACCAGCATTCATGGGGAGTCCATGGATTTGAACTGGGATTAGCAGTGGATTAGTGATTATGTCAGATGCTGCTGCGGTTTGTGGAGATTATGAGGAATTCGAGGACTGAGCAGTTCGGACCCATGGGAGGGGAGGGACAGCAGGCCGACATTTACATTACAAAGTATAGATCATGAAAGCTTGGTGCAGACGGATAAGATTGCTATTGGTTTACATGAAATACAGCAGAGAGTTCACAGAAGCACTTTTCCATATAGATCCCTCAGGTACCAAGGATTGCCAAAGGCATAATGATCACTGTGAGAGTCAGAGTGGGTCAGTTCGATTGCCTACTACAGTAAAACCTAAAAGTCTAAAGTCAGCATCCCCCTGTAGGATGCTCTCTTCATTACAGCCACACTAGTAGCGTTAAAACTTCATACCATTCAGAGCATTTAAACAACACACGGGGGGCATTGGTGATGGGTGTGTTGGTTCAGGCACCGGTGAAAGATGCAATGCAGGAAGTCTAGTTTGAGTAATAAATCCATGCGTTTGAAGGCTTATTAGCCCCCCAAACACTACAGAGTGGTTAAACCGACTGTGAGGTCAACAGTAGAAATACAGCATTCACGGACAGAGTCATGTACCAGAAATGTGCATTTGTATGTATTTGACTGACTATGCAGCATTTTGCCGGATGCTGTCAAATTGTGTTGCTGCAAAAGTTGAGTCCGGATTCAATATTGTCCTACAACAACCCTGCATTTTTTTATTAGTTAATTTAATATACTATGTTATCCTTCTTACTGGGTTTTTCTTCATGCGTGTCATATTTTGGCTGGAATGAAAGTGAAAATGTTGTTGCAAAATATTGAATGTTATATTAAAAGATCTTAAAAGGTGTTTCCAGCAGAAGTCCCGAATAGTAAATTGTTGGACATGACAAACAATATACTGATGATTTAGCTACTGGAGCCTTACCAGTAGTGGAGCTAAAAATTTAAAGTTTGTACCAACGGTGGTGATAGACAAGTTCATGGGATTGTATTAATATTTGTGGGTAATAGGTGGAAATTCTGTTGTCCAAGATCAACCACAGCTCATGAACATTTCTACCCAACCACCCTCTTTCCCTCCCTGCCTGCAGGTCCAGCTCTGCACATGGCCACAGTGGACATCAAGAACCCGGAGATCAACAACGTCCGATTCCACAACTCCCACAGTCACCAGCAGCCATACCACCTCAACAACATGCTGAGCCACAGCGGGCTAACTCGGAAGGACAAGAAGAACAAAGGCAAGAAGAAGAAACTGACCAAGGCCGACATTGGCACGCCCAGCAACTTCCAGTGAGTCACCCCTCGCACATTTTACATCACTGAGTGCTTCGGTGCTGCAGCAGACTGAAGATGAGATACCAGGCAAATGAAGCAATCAATTATCAAACTAATTTCAAGACGATTTTCTGTCTGTTGACTTGTCGTTGTAGCTCTAGTTTTGGGGGGCTCATGTTTAAGCGAGATATGCTGACTTATAGTCCCCAGTGTGGGTCACCAGAATCTCTGGATCCTACATTACCATTCCGACTCAATAGTTTCTTTCATTCACCACATCTTTCAGACTCCACACCTCCAGTTTGTAACACAGACTTTCTGTTTTCTCCATGTTGAAGACGAGATACTCAAGTGGTGTCACTGAAGCGAATTACTCAGACTTGACACAGTTCCTCCAGAGACACAGAAGACTCTATGCAACTGTTTTTACAGGCAGAGTAATGGAAGTACTCAGTACTTATGATGTTCCTCCTTTTAAACCAAAAAGTCATGGGAAGTCTTAGGAAATGGTCATTAGGAATGTAATGTGTACAGCTTACTGTTAATGTGCTGAAACCTGCTGAACTGGCCGTATCGTATTTTCAGTCTATGTAACAAATAAGTAACTTTGATGTTTTGTAAGATGATAAAGCCCTTTTGAAATGTACCCCACTGTGTGTACCTGTGTGTACAGTTGTAGACCTGTACCGTCCTGTCTGAGCCTGCAGTAACACTCTGCTTTGTGGCAACAGTTGTTGTTGCGTTATGGTCTCAGAGCGTTCAATGACCATACTGTCTCTGTGACTGATGTACGAGTGTGTGTGTGTGTGTGTGTGGGCTCAGTATTTTGCATGTGCACATGGTCGCCCACATTCATATGCTAAATAGTTGATGTACTTCTGCATATTTATGCGTTTGTGTATGGACATGTGTGATCTCACCACATATCTGTCCCGTCGTCTTCAGGCACATTGGTCACGTGGGCTGGGATCCGAACACAGGTTTTGATGTGAGTACCCCTTTCTCTTTCTCACACACACACACACACATACATACACACACACAGGAGCACAATAGTGACCTGTGTGGTGGGTGCATGATGAAATCACACAATAGGCTCTTTTTGTTTCCTGCTCATATTCACAAACATCTAGTTACGTCTCAGAAGCTGCAAACAGTCAGAATGTTCCAGAGAGAACCAGGCTGCAGCCTCATTATCTCATTAGAGAGCTGCATATTGAAGAAATTAATAAATGCCAACACATGCAAAGCACTCGTGTCTTCACAATATCAAAAAGCCCTCATGAATAATTTTGGCACTTGAAATTAAAAGCTGTGATGTCACGTCGTGGCAAAAGAAAAACAACAGAGAAAAAAAAACAAAGAGAAGCTTGCAATACACAAATGTGAGCAAACAGCATCTAGTGACAAACTGCACACACATCAGTCTGTACAGTGAAAGTCAAACCTCAAAGTGAAGGAACCATGAAAACAAACATGTTTAAGTGGAGTCTTTCACACATAATTACAGCATTCAGGAGAAAATAAACAGGTTGTATGATCAGTGTTCTCATTTAAGGTTTGACAAATGTTGTAAAATGGTGGCTGTCTATAAAACCTGACTGGTTTCTCATAGCAACCAGTGCTGCTGATGCGAGTCATCTTTGAGTTTTTCTGCTAACAAATGTGTTCAGGCTGACAGGCTTAACAAGCAGTAAGCCCATTGCTTTCCATTCACTGGTTCCCAGCTGTCTCTTGTTACCCGACTGAGTGAGCATATTAAACAATCCTTAAAACATGTCAGCTGAGTGGTTTATTTTATATATTGTGGGTTCCAGCAGCTTGTAATTCTGCCTGTTGGCCACCAGGTGTCAGACTAAGACTGACTGCTATCAGAATCTTACTGCTTTGTACTGTGACTGTACTTTGACTAAATGACTTTAAACAGAGCCAATCAAAGGGGGGCAGGAAACTCTTGTTTATTTATTTTTTTACTTATTAAGCCTCAATTCATACATCTCACATTTCTGTATTTTCTGAGTGTGTTTCTTATTAGTTGAAGGAGAAAGGTATCACAAATCCCGGATCAGTTGAGCATAAAATGAACAAAGAAAATAACAGAAGAAATAATAAATTCCAACAAATATATTATAAAAAGAAAAACTAAGATGTTTATATGAAATTAGTCTGGACATCACGCACTGAGCATGTTTAAATTTAAGTATAGCAAGTCAAGCCTTTTAAATTCATCAGTCTTTAATGTCTGAATAAAAACAGCCAAAAAAGAACAGGCCCAAATAAAAAAGAATAATAAATCTCTTATTGAAATCAAGAATCATTTGATAAAAGGAGAATCTGACCAAACATCTACTGTGCTCATTAAGCAGTGGACCATTTTCATACCAATACTTTTATCAACACTGTACTTTACCTTCCCTTGCTCCGAGGAATATAAACTTGCTTTCTTCTGTTTTTAGCCATACAGTGTTGGTCTGTCTGTCCATCACTTTGGTCCAGACTGAAATATCTCAACAATACTGGACGGATTGTCATGACATTTTCTTCATTCAGTTGACATTAGTGTCAGTATCTGGACAGCTCCCAGATGGATTGCTATAGATATTAAAGTTCCCTAGAGGATACGTTTTTATGACTTTGGTGATCTTCTGACCCGCTGGTGGAGGAATCATCAAGTTTTACTTATTCTGTAAAATAGCTCGACATCTACGTGATGGATTGGCAGCATATTTATAGCATACATATATAAGGGCTGCTCGATATGGTAAAAACAACATATTGCGATTATTTTGACAGATTTTGTGATTGCGATTCACAATTACCTGGAAACGATCATTTTTGCATCACAAATTGAATTTTCATCAAGAACGTGAACGTTAAAATCATGATGATGTGACATTTTTGCGGTCTGTATCAAACAAAAATATTTCTTGACAGCACTACAGTACTTCATTAGAATTCTGTTTTGTCGCAAATGTTACCTTTATCAAAACATTACAGCTTTTGGGATTTGCATAATGCACTTATATGCCATATTGTGATTTCAATAATATTAGGATAGCCCTAAGTTTTTTACTTCTTGCAGTTATAGATGTCATCACTCCTCAACAATGGGCTGTGTGTGTTTTTAAAATGTTCTCTGTGGTTGATGTTGCAGCTGAACAACCTGGACCCTGAACTAAAGAACCTGTTCGACATGTGCGGCATCTCTGAGGCTCAACTGAAGGACAGAGAGACATCCAAGGTCATCTACGACTTCATCGAGAAGAAGGGTGGCGTAGAGGCCGTCAAGAACGAGCTGAGGAGGCAGGGTGAGGGCACGCGCACGCACCCATACACACACAGATAGCTTTGAAGTGTTAAACTGATCTTAAATAATAATGAAGCAGTGCAGCATTTGTTGAAGAATGAAGCTCCTCACTTTCAATGGTTTTACTGCACAAAAAAAGAGTATGTAAGATGATATAATCGGTTTAGGTCGATAAAGGTTTTAAAATAAAACGTGCATCTGCAATTTCTCCTGATTTGAAAGGCAGATAAGATGATTTTTGAATTACTGTTAACTAAGTTAAATGTTTGATGCTGTGGCACCCAGAGGCAAAGGTGACATTATAAAGCATAAACGAGAGACCAGTGTGTCTGCGGTGTGGAGGTCTTTTAAAGTTTTCGAAACGGATAGGAAAGTTGCTATTGGCATTGATTAGTCAGCGTCTGTCTCTTCCTTCCATTTAATTACCCATCTTAAGATCTGACATCCCAGTTATTACGACAAAATTGTGAAGTACAAAGAGAAATTGGCATCAGCGAAAAACACCTGTCAGCAGCCTCATCTCCGGTCCTTAAACAAAAATATACTGCTGCTCTGCAGTTTTGATGTATGTTTGAACGGTAACTAAATCCACCAATTTAGAAGCCATTTTTCTTGACTATTTATTGGACAATGAAGTATAGCATCAAGTCAGAAGTCTAGGATTTTTTAAGCCCTGACTGCTAATCTAAAATGTTTGACCTCCTGGAAAAATAAATAACAAATACAGCAATATAACAAACAGTGGTATTATAACTGCCGGTGTCAGTTTTATGCAATAAATTGCGTACTTTTGTGAGTATTCACCATTTTAAATTAGAAACAAAATAACTTATAGACTCATTTAAAATGCTGTTTTATCTTGAACTATCATTTCCTTCAGTTCTCCTGTATTTTTCTATCAGGCGGTAGATTTTCGGTGTGCAGATCAAACGGTATTCTGTGTCTGATTTTTTTTTTTTTAATTCTTTGTGACAGACTGCTTCTTCTGTCCTTTTCACCATGTTTTATTCATGTTAAACTGCACTGAGGAGAGTGAAGAGTGATCTGAATCTCAATTTAGGGTGTGTGTGTGTGTGTTTGTGGATTTATCTGTGTGAATCTCAGACATCACTCGTCTTTTAGCATTTAGACAAGGTGTCAAAAGATGGAGGACCTTTTCAGGCTGTGCCAATGATTTAAAAATCAATAAGCGGTATTGGAACATTAATGGTGGTCATCAGTGGTTGTCAGTGCACTCTGGTTTCAAATTGATTACAACAATTGGCATGTTTTTCTAGTACAAAGGTGATTCTACAGAAAGCCTTTATTTTCATACCTGCAGTCTGGGTCTGCAACTTACAATTCATTTCATTATCTGTTACTTTGCTGATTATTTTCTAGATAATTTCGATTTACTATTTTGTCAATAAGATGTCATAAAGGAGTGAAAAATGTCCACCACAATCTCATGAAGCCAAGGTTAGCATATTTATACCGCTTGTTTTGTCTGACCAACATTAAAGTAAAGATACTCAGACAAGAAAAAGCACCACGTTTAAGAAGCTGGCAGTAAAAGTCAGCTGGCATTTGTGCTTAAAAATGAGTTAAACAATCATCAAAATAGGCAAACTAATGAGAAAATGAAAATGCCCTTTGATTAAACCCA